ACTGCAACAGATCACACACCCCCACACACACACACCATGGCTGCCAGTAAAGTAACACTGGAACAGATCACACCCCCACACACACACACACCATGGCTGCCAGTAAAGTAACACTGCAACAGATCACACCCCCCCACACACACACACCATGGCTGCCAGTAAAGTAACACTGGAACAGATCACACCCCCACACACACCATGGCTGCCAGTAAAGTAACACTGGAACAGATCACACCCCCACACACACACACCATGGCTGCCAGTAAAGTAACACTGCAACAGATCACACACCCCCACACACACACCATGGCTGCCAGTAAAGTAACACTGCAACAGATCACACCCCCCCACACACACACACACCATGGCTGCCAGTAAAGTAACACTGCAACAGATCACACACCCCCACACACACACACACCATGGCTGCCAGTAAAGTAACACTGCAACAGATCACACACCCCCACACACACACACCATGGCTGCCAGTAAAGTAACACTGCAACAGATCACACCCCCCACACACACACACACCATGGCTGCCAGTAAAGTAACACTGCAACAGATCACACACCCCCCACACACACACACCATGGCTGCCAGTAAAGTAACACTGGAGCAGATCACACACCCCCACACACACACCATGGCTGCCAGTAAAGTAACACTGGAGCAGATCACACCCCCACACACACACACCATGGCTGCCAGTAAAGTAACACTGCAACAGATCACACCCCCACACACACACACCATGGCTGCCAGTAAAGTAACACTGCAGCAGATCACACCCCCACACACACACCATGGCTGCCAGTAAAGTAACACTGGAGCAGATCACACACCCCCACACACACACCATGGCTGCCAGTAAAGTAACACTGCAACAGATCACACCCCCCCACACACACACACACCATGGCTGCCAGTAAAGTAACACTGCAGCAGATCACACCCCCACACACACACCATGGCTGCCAGTAAAGTAACACTGCAGCAGATCACACCCCCACACACACACACCATGGCTGCCAGTAAAGTAACACTGCAGCAGATCACACCCCACACACACACACACCATGGCTGCCAGTAAAGTAACACTGCAGCAGATCACACACCCCCACACACACACCATGGCTGCCAGTAAAGTAACACTGCAACAGATCACACACCCCCACACACACACACACCATGGCTGCCAGTAAAGTAACACTGCAACAGATCACACCCCCACACACACACCATGGCTGCCAGTAAAGTAACACTTCAACAGATCACACACCCCCACACACACACACACCATGGCTGCCAGTAAAGTAACACTGCAACAGATCACACACCCCCCACACACACACCATGGCTGCCAGTAAAGTAACACTGCAACAGATCACACACCCCCACACACACACCATGGCTGCCAGTAAAGTAACACTGCAGCAGATCACACCCCCCCCACACACACCATGGCTGCCAGTAAAGTAACACTGCAACAGATCACACCCCCACACACACACCATGGCTGCCAGTAAAGTAACACTGCAACAGATCACACACCCCCACACACACACACACCATGGCTGCCAGTAAAGTAACACTGCAACAGATCACACACCCCCACACACACACACACCATGGCTGCCAGTAAAGTAACACTGCAACAGATCACACACCCCCACACACACACACACCATGGCTGCCAGTAAAGTAACACTGGAACAGATCACCCCCCCCCCACACACACACCATGGCTGCCAGTAAAGTAACACTGCAACAGATCACACCCCCACACACACACCATGGCTGCCAGTAAAGTAACACTGCAACAGATCACACACCCCCCCACACACACACACCATGGCTGCCAGTAAAGTAACACTGCAGCAGATCACACCCACACACACACACACCATGGCTGCCAGTAAAGTAACACTGCAACAGATCACACACCCCCACACACACACACACCATGGCTGCCAGTAAAGTAACACTGCAACACATCACACCCCACACACACACACCATGGCTGCCAGTAAAGTAACACTGCAACACATCACACCCCACACACACACACCATGGCTGCCAGTAAAGTAACACTGCAACACATCACACCCCACACACACACACCATGGCTGCCAGTAAAGTAACACTGCAACACATCACACCCCACACACACACACACCATGGCTGCCAGTAAAGTAACACTGCAACAGATCACACACCCCCACACACACACCATGGCTGCCAGTAAAGTAACACTGCAACAGATCACACCCCCACACACACACCATGGCTGCCAGTAAAGTAACACTGGAACAGATCACACCCCCACACACACACACCATGGCTGCCAGTAAAGTAACACTGCAACAGATCACACACCCCCACACACACACCATGGCTGCCAGTAAAGTAACACTGCAGCAGATCACACCCCGCCCCACACACACACCATGGCTGCCAGTAAAGTAACACTGCAACACATCACACCCCACACACACACACCATGGCTGCCAGTAAAGTAACACTGGAACAGATCACACCCCCACACACACACACACCATGGCTGCCAGTAAAGTAACACTGCAACAGATCACACACCCCCACACACACACCATGGCTGCCAGTAAAGTAACACTGCAACAGATCACACCCCCACACACACACACACCATGGCTGCCAGTAAAGTAACACTGCAGCAGATCACACCCCCACACACACACACACCATGGCTGCCAGTAAAGTAACACTGCAGCAGATCACACCCCCACACACACACACACCATGGCTGCCAGTAAAGTAACACTGCAGCAGATCACACCCCCCCACACACACACCATGGCTGCCAGTAAAGTAACACTGCAAGAGATCACACCCCCACACACACACACCATGGCTGCCAGTAAAGTAACACTGCAACAGATCACACACCCCCCCACACACACACCATGGCTGCCAGTAAAGTAACACTGCAACAGATCACACACCCCACACACACACACACCATGGCTGCCAGTAAAGTAACACTGCAACAGATCACACACCCCCCCACACACACACCATGGCTGCCAGTAAAGTAACACTGGAGCAGATCACACACCCACACACACCATGGCTGCCAGTAAAGTAACACTGGAACAGATCACACCCCCACACACACACACCATGGCTGCCAGTAAAGTAACACTGCAACAGATCACACACCCCCACACACACACCATGGCTGCCAGTAAAGTAACACTGCAACAGATCACACACCCCCCCACACACACACCATGGCTGCCAGTAAAGTAACACTGCAACAGATCACACACCCCCCCACACACACACACCATGGCTGCCAGTAAAGTAACACTGCAACAGATCACACACCCCCACACACACACACCATGGCTGCCAGTAAAGTAACACTGCAACAGATCACACACCCCCCACACACACACACCATGGCTGCCAGTAAAGTAACACTGGAGCAGATCACACACCCCCACACACACACCATGGCTGCCAGTAAAGTAACACTGGAGCAGATCACACACCCCCACACACACACACCATGGCTGCCAGTAAAGTAACACTGCAACAGATCACACCCCCACACACACACACCATGGCTGCCAGTAAAGTAACACTGGAGCAGATCACACACCCCCCACACACACACCATGGCTGCCAGTAAAGTAACACTGCAACAGATCACACACCCCCACACACACACACCATGGCTGCCAGTAAAGTAACACTGCAGCAGATCACACCCCCCCCACACACACACCATGGCTGCCAGTAAAGTAACACTGGAACAGATCACACACCCCCACACACACACACCATGGCTGCCAGTAAAGTAACACTGCAGCAGATCACACCCCACACACACACACACCATGGCTGCCAGTAAAGTAACACTGCAACAGATCACACACCCCCCCACACACACACCATGGCTGCCAGTAAAGTAACACTGCAACAGATCACACCCCCCCACACACACACCATGGCTGCCAGTAAAGTAACACTGGAGCAGATCACACACCCCCACACACACACACCATGGCTGCCAGTAAAGTAACACTGCAACAGATCACACCCCCACACACACACACCATGGCTGCCAGTAAAGTAACACTGCAACAGATCACACACCCCCCCACACACACACCATGGCTGCCAGTAAAGTAACACTGCAGCAGATCACACCCCCACACACACACACCATGGCTGCCAGTAAAGTAACACTGCAGCAGATCACACCCCCACACACACCATGGCTGCCAGTAAAGTAACACTGCAGCAGATCACACACCCCCACACACACCATGGCTGCCAGTAAAGTAACACTGCAGCAGATCACACCCCACACACACACACCATGGCTGCCAGTAAAGTAACACTGCAACAGATCACACCCCCACACACACACCATGGCTGCCAGTAAAGTAACACTGCAACAGATCACACCCCACACACACACACACACCATGGCTGCCAGTAAAGTAACACTGCAACAGATCACACCCCCCCACACACACACACCATGGCTGCCAGTAAAGTAACACTGCAACAGATCACACCCCTACACACACACACACCATGGCTGCCAGTAAAGTAACACTGGAACAGATCACACCCCCACACACACACACACCATGGCTGCCAGTAAAGTAACACTGGAGCAGATCACACCCCCACACACACACACCATGGCTGCCAGTAAAGTAACACTGCAACACATCACACCCCACACACACACACACACCATGGCGGAACGCGTGTACAATTTCCTTCTAATGTACATTAAGCATTGTCGTTAACACCAAACCATTTGAATCTACCATTAATTAACTAAACTTAACCGAATATTGCTAAGTCAATATAGTCAATATTAACCATTATATATATTGAAATAGTCAGTATATGATTATATGAACCCATGATTATAATATATATAATCATGGGTTCAGGCGAGACTTGGGCACCAAGGGTATGGAAGGTATTAAAAGGGGCGGCGCCCGGGGGTCGCGTGTCAGTACACTGGCGACAGCGGGAGGAGACAGTCGCTCTCCGCGCCTCCGCGTCTCTCATACCCAACGGGACACGTGTTGTTTTTCAACGGGAATTATGGGCGAGAAAGTGACGTGTGTGTGGGTGTTGCTGTGTGTTGCGGGCTGGTGCTCACCACCAGCTGCCAGCCAGCTGCAGCTGAGCACCTCTGTGGCCATCCCTGGCGTGAAGGTGAGTATATGGCGCTGAAGGTGACCCATGGGTGTTGCGCGAGTGAAGGTGACCCATGGGTGTTGCACGAGTGAAGGTGACCCATGGGTGTTGCACCAGTGAAGGTGACCCATGGGTGTTGCACGAGTGAAGGTGACCCATGGGTGTTGTACCAGTGAAGGTGACCCATGGGTGTTGCACGAGTGAAGGTGACCCATGGGTGTTGTACCAGTGAAGGTGACCCATGGGTGTTGCACGAGTGAAGGTGACCCATGGGTGTTGCACGAGTGAAGGTGACCCATGGGTGTTGTACCAGTGAAGGTGACCATGGGTGTTGCACGAGTGAAGGTGACCATGGGTGTTGCACGAGTGAAGGTGACCCATGGGTGTTGCACGAGTGAAGGTGACCCATGGGTGTTGCACGAGTGAAGGTGACCCATGGGTGTTGCACGAGTGAAGGTGACCCATGGGTGTTGTACCAGTGAAGGTGACCATGGGTGTTGCACGAGTGAAGGTGACCATGGGTGTTGCACGAGTGAAGGTGACCCATGGGTGTTGTACCAGTGAAGGTGACCATGGGTGTTGCACGAGTGAAGGTGACCATGGGTGTTGCACGAGTGAAGGTGACCATGGGTGTTGCACGAGTGAAGGTGACCCATGGGTGTTGCACGAGTGAAGGTGACCATAGGTGTTGCACGAGTGAACGTGACCCATGGGTGTTGCACGAGTGAACGTGACTTACGGGTGTTGCACGAGTGAAGGTGACCCATGGGTGTTGCACGAGTGAAGGTGACCCATGGGTGTTGCACCAGTGAAGGTGACCCATGGGTGTTGTACCAGTGAAGGTGACCCATGGGAGTTGCACGAGTGAAGGTGACCCATGGGTGTTGCGCGAGTGAAGGTGACCCATGGGTGTTGCACGAGTGAAGCTAGGTGACCCATGGGTGTTGTACCAGTGAAGGTGACCCATGGGTGTTGCGCGAGTGAAAGTGACTTACGGGTGTTGCACGAGTGACGGTGAGTCACCAGTATATAGATCAACAACCAGAGGCAGGCTATAGACCAACCACCAGAGGCAGGCTATAGACCAATGACCAGAGGCAGGCTATAGACCAACAACCAGAGGCAGGCTATAGACCAACATCCAGAGGCAGGCTATAGACCAACAACCAGAGGCAGGCTATAGACCAACGGCTAGAGGCAGGCTATAGACCAACGGCCAGAGGCAGGCTATAGACCAACAACCAGAGGCAGGCTATAGACCAACGGCCAGAGGCAGGCTATAGACCATCAACCAGAGGCAGGCTATAGACCAACAACCAGAGGCAGGCTATAGACCAACGGCCAGAGGCAGGCTATAGACCAACGGCCAGAGGCAGGCTATAGACCAAGGCCAGGCAGGCTATAGACCAACGGCCAGAGGCAGACTAGACCAACGGCCAGAGGCAGGCTATAGACCAACGGCTAGAGGCAGGCTATAGACCAACCACCAGAGGCAGGCTATAGACCAACGGCCAGAGGCAGGCTATAGACCAACCACCAGAGGCAGGCTATAGACCAACGGCCAGAGGCAGGCTATATAGACCAACGGCCAGAGGCAGGCTATAGACCAACGGCCAGAGGCAGGCTATAGACCAACGGCCAGAGGCAGGCTATAGACCAACGGCCAGAGGCAGGCTATAGACCAACGGCCAGAGGCAGGCTATAGACCAACGGCCAGAGGCAGGCTATATAGACCAACGGCCAGAGGCAGGCTATATAGACCACCGACCAGAGGCAGGCTATAGACCAACGACCAGAGGCAGGCTATATAGACCACCGACCAGAGGCAGGCTATAGACCAACGACCAGAGGCAGGCTATATAGACCAATGACCAGAGGCAGGCTATAGACCAACTACCAGGGGCAGGCTATATAGACCAATGACCAGAGGCAGGCTATAGACCAACTACCAGAGGCAGGCTATATAGACCAACGACCAGAGGCAGGCTATAGACCAACGACCAGAGGCAGGCTATATAGACCAACGACCAGAGGCAGGCTATATAGACCACCGACCAGAGGCAGGCTATAGACCAACGGCCAGAGGCAGGCTATATAGACCAACGACTAGAGGCAGGCTATAGACCAACAACCAGAGGCAGGCTATAGACCATCAACCAGAGGCAGGCTATATAGACCAACCACCAGAGGCAGGCTATATAGACCAACCACCAGAAGCAGGCTATATAGACCAACCACCAGAGGCAGGCTATAGACCAACCACCAGAGGCAGGCTATAGACCATCAACCAGAGGCAGGCTATAGACCAACCACCAGAGGCAGGCTATAGACCAACCACCAGAGGCAGACTATAGACCAACCACCAGAGGCAGGCTATAGACCATCAACCAGAGGCAGGCTATAGACCAACGACCAGAGGCAGGCTATAGATCAACGACCAGAGGCAGGCTATAGACCATCAACCAGAGGCAGGCTATAGACCATCAACCAGAGGCAGGCTATAGACCAACGACCAGAGGCAGGTTATAGACCATCAACCAGAGGCAGGCTATAGACCATCAACCAGAGGCAGGCTATTGACCCATCAACCAGAGGCAGGCTATAGACCAACTACCAGAGGCAGGCTATAGACCAACGACCAGAGGCAGGCTATAGACCATCAACCAGAGGCAGGCTATAGACCCATCAACCAGAGGCAGGCTATAGACCAACGACCAGAGGCAGGCTACAGACCAACCACCAGAGGCAGGCTATAGACCATCAACCAGAGGCAGGCTATAGACCCATCAACCAGAGGCAGGCTATAGACCAACGACCAGAGGCAGGCTATAGACCAACCACCAGAGGCAGGCTATAGACCAACCACCAGAGGCAGGCTATAGACCATCAACCAGAGGCAGGCTATAGACCAACCACCAGAGGCAGGCTATAGACCATCAACCAGAGGCAGGCTATAGACCCATCAACCAGAGGCAGGCTATAGACCAACGACCAGAGGCAGGCTATAGACCATCAACCAGAGGCAGGCTATAGACCAACCACCAGAGGCAGGCTATAGACCCACCACCAGAGGCAGGCTATAGACCCATCAACCAGAGGCAGGCTATAGACCATCAACCAGAGGCAGGCTATAGACCCATCAACCAGATTCAGGCTATAGACCATCAACCAGAGGCAGGCTATAGACCAACGACCAGAGGCATGCTATATAGACCATCAACCAGAGGCAGGCTATATAGACCAACCACCAGAGGCAGGCTATAGACCCATCAACCAGAGGCAGGCTATAGACCCATCAACCAGAGGCAGGCTATAGACCATCAACCAGAGGCAGGCTATAGACCAACGACCAGAGGCAGGCTATAGACCATCAACCAGAGGCAGGCTATAGACCATCAACCAGAGGCAGGCTATAGACCCATCAACCAGAGGCAGGCTATAGACCATCAACCAGAGGCAGGCTATAGACCAACCACCAGAGGTAGGCTATAAACCCATCAACCAGAGGCAGGCTATAGACCATCAACCAGAGGCAGGCTATAGACCAACCACCAGAGGTAGGCTATAGACCCATCAACCAGAGGCAGGCTATAGACCATCAACCAGAGGCAGGCTATAGACCCATCAACCAGATTCAGGCTATAGACCATCAACCAGAGGCAGGCTATAGACCAACGACCAGAGGCATGCTATATAGACCATCAACCAGAGGCAGGCTATATAGACCAACCACCAGAGGCAGGCTATAGACCCATCAACCAGAGGCAGGCTATAGACCAACGACCAGAGGCAGGCTATAGACCATCAACCAGAGGCAGGCTATAGACCATCAACCAGAGGCAGGCTATAGACCCATCAACCAGAGGCAGGCTATAGACCATCAACCAGAGGCAGGCTATAGACCAACCACCAGAGGTAGGCTATAGACCCATCAACCAGAGGCAGGCTATAGACCATCAACCAGAGGCAGGCTATAGACCAACCACCAGAGGTAGGCTATAGACCCATCAACCAGAGGCAGGCTATAGACCATCAACAAGAGGCAGGCTATAGGCCCATCAACCAGATTCAGGCTATAGACCATCAACCAGAGGCAGGCTATAGACCAACGACCAAAGGCATGCTATATAGACCATCAACCAGAGGCAGGCTATATAGACCAACCACCAGAGGCAGGCTATAGACCCATCAACCAGAGGCAGGCTATAGACCAACGACCAGAGGCAGGCTATAGACCATCAACCAGAGGCATGCTATATAGACCATCAACCAGAGGCAGGCTATATAGACCAACCACCAGAGGCAGGCTATAGACCCATCAACCAGAGACAGGCTATAGACCAACGACCAGAGGCAGGCTATAGACCATCAACCAGAGGCAGGCTATATAGACCATCAACCAGAGGCAGGCTATATAGACCATCAACCAGAGGCAGGCTATAGACCAACGACCAGAGGCAGGCTATAGACCAACGACCAGAGGCAGGCTATAGACCATCAACCAGAGGCAGGCTATATAGACCAACCACCAGAGGCAGGCTATAGACCCATCAACCAGAGACAGGCTAAAGACCAACGACCAGAGGCAGGCTATAGACCATCAACCAGAGGCAGGCTATAGACCATCAACCAGAGGCAGGCTATATAGACCATCAACCAGAGGCAGGCTATATAGACCATCAACCAGAGGCAGGCTATAGACCATCAACCAGAGGCAGGCTATAGACCATCAACCAGAGGCAGGCTATATAGACTATATTCAGGCTATATATTCATCAATGACAATCATCCAATACCCAACCCTAGTTTCCTTTCAACAGGTGAAGGAGGGCACGTCGGCTGCCCCGGTGGCCGGGAACGGGACGCTGGCCGTGCCCCACCTGGAGTGTGGGTATGTGTTGTGTCAGGCGCCAGAGGTCTTCACCAACGCCTCCACACACCTCTGGGACTACTACGTCGAGTGAGTCGACCACGCCATCTTGTTTCTTGTGTTCGGGTAGTGTATGTGTTCGGTTCCTCCGGTGTTCCGGGTACTGTGTTGGTACTGTGTGTTACTGTGAAGGCACTGTGTGTATACAGTGATGGTACTGTGTGTACACAGTGCCAGAAACATGTGAGCAGAGTACCATACAGTCAGGAAACATGAAAGCACCACAAACACATTCGCTGCCACACTAGACACAATCCAACCATTCTTTACTGTACAATACTGCATACAACAGAGTTATTATTACGTAATATTATTATGTCCTGTACTGTAATAATTCAATATTCATAACATTATTGTATTTTGAGTAATAAATAATGCAATATTGTAGTTAAACTGCATTTATTAATACAATAGTACAATACGATACTGTACTACACTTATTCAATATTGGATTGTGTTGTACTGAATTCAATAATTTATTTCAGTGAATAAAAACCCAACGTGCAGTGCTTGTATTAAATGTTGACATAGTGAGGTCCTCGGGGTGTTATTGTGGTCCTCGGGGTGTTATTGTGGTCCTCGGGGTGCTATTGTGGTCCTCGGGGTGCTATTGTGGTCCTCTGGGTGTTATTGTGGTCCTCGGGGTGTTATTGTGGTCCTCGGGGTGTTATTGTGGTCCTCTGGGTGTTATTGTGGTCCTCGGGGTGCTATTGTGGTCCTCTGGGTGTTATTGTGGTCCTCGGGGTGTTATTGTGGTCCTCTATTGAGGTCCTCGGGGTGTTATTGTGGTCCTCGGGGTGTTATTGTGGTCCTCGGGGTATTATTGTGGTCCTCGGGGTATTATTGTGGTCCTCGGGGTGCTATTGTGGTCCTCTGGGTGTTATTGTGGTCCTCTGGGTGCTATTGTGGTCCTCTGGGTGTTATTGTGGTCCTCGGGGTATTATTGTGGTCCTCGGGGTATTATTGTGGTCCTCGGGGTGTTATTGTGGTCCTCGGGGTGTTATTGTGGTCCTCGGGGTGTTATTGTGGTCCTCGGGGTATTATTGTGGTCCTCGGGGTGTTATTGTGGTCCTCTGGGTGTTATTGTGGTCCTCTGGGTGTTATTGTGGTCCTCTGGGTGTTATTGTGGTCCTCGGGGTGTTATTGTGGTCCTCTGGGTGTTATTGTGGTCCTCGGGGTGTTATTGTGGTCCTCGGGGTGTTATTGTGGTCCTCGGGGTGTTATTGTGGTCCTCGGGGTGTTATTGTGGTCCTCGGGGTGTTATTGTGGTCCTCGGGGTGTTATTGTGGTCCTCTGGGTGTTATTGTGGTCCTCTGGGTGTTATTGTGGTCCTCTGGGTGTTATTGTGGTCCTCTGGGTGTTATTGTGGTCCTCTGGGTGTTATTGTGGTCCTCTGGGTGTTATTGTGGTCCTCGGGGTGTTATTGTGGTCCTCTGGGTGTTATTGTGGTCCTCTGGGTGTTATTGTGGTCCTCGGGGTGTTATTGTGGTCCTCGGGGTGTTATTGTGGTCCTCGGGGTGCTATTGTGGTCCTCGGGGTGTGGTCCTCGGGGTTATTGTGGTCCTCGGGGTGTATTATTGTGGTCCTCGGGGTGTTATTGTGGTCCTCGGGGTGTTATTGTGGTCCTCGGGGTGTTATTGTGGTCCTCGGGGTGCTATTGTGGTCCTCGGGGGCTATTGTGGTCCTCGGGGTGTTATTGTGGTCCTCGGGGTGTTATTGTGGTCCTCGGGGTGTTATTGTGGTCCTCGGGGTGCTATTGTGGTCCTCGGGGTGTTATTGTGGTCCTCGGGGTGCTATTGTGGTCCTCTGGGTGTTATTGTGGTCCTCGGGGTGCTATTGTGGTCCTCTGGGTGTTATTGTGGTCCTCTGGGTGCTATTGTGGTCCCTGGGTCTGGGTCGGGGTTATTGTGGTCCTCTGGGTGTTATTGTGGTCCTCTGGGTGTTATTGTGGTCCTCTGGGTGTTATTGTGGTCCTCGGGGTGTTATTGTGGTCCTCTGGGTGTTATTGTGGTCCTCGGGGTGTTATTGTGGTCCTCGGGGTGTTATTGTGGTCCTCGGGGTGTTATTGTGGTCCTCGGGGTGTTATTGTGGTCCTCGGGGTGTTATTGTGGTCCTCTGGGTGTTATTGTGGTCCTCGGGGTGTTATTGTGGTCCTCGGGGTGTTATTGTGGTCCTCGGGGTGTTATTGTGGTCCTCGGGGTGTTATTGTGGTCCTCGGGGTGTTATTGTGGTCCTCGGGGTGTTATTGTGGTCCTATGGGTGTTATTGTGGTCCTCGGGGTGTTATTGTGGTCCTCGGGGTGTTATTGTGGTCCTCGCGGGTGTTATTGTGGTCCTCGGGGTGTTATTGTGGTCCTCTGGGTGTTATTGTGGTCCTCGGGTGTTATTGTGGTCCTCGGGGTGTTATTGTGGTCCTCTGGGTGTTATTGTGGTCCTCGGGGTGTTATTGTGGTCCTCGGGGTGTTATTGTGGTCCTCGGGGTGTTATTGTGGTCCTCGGGGTGTTATTGTGGTCCTCGGGGTGTATTGTGGTCCTCTTATTGTGGTCCTCGGGGTGTTATTGTGGTCCTCGCGGGTGTTATTGTGGTCCTCGGGGTGTTATTGGTGGGTGTTATTGTGGTCCTCGGGGTGTTATTGTGGTCCTCGGGGTGTTATTGTGGTCCTCGGGTGTTATTGTGGTCCTCGGGGTGTTATTGTGGTCCTCGGGGTGTTATTGTGGTCCTCGGGGTGTTATTGTGGTCCTCGGGGTTATTGTGGTCCTCGGGGTATTATTGTGGTGTTATTGTGGTCCTCGGGGTGTTATTGTGGTCCTCGGGGTGTTATTGTGGTCCTCGGGGTGTTATTGTGGTCCTCGGGGTGTTATTGTGGTCCTCGGGGTGTTATTGTGGTCCTCGGGGTGTTATTGTGGTCCTCGGGGTGTTATTGTGGTCCTCGGGGTGTTATTGTGGTCCTCGGGGTGTTATTGTGGTCCTCGGGGTGTTATTGTGGTCCTCGGGGTATTATTGTGGTCCTCGGGGTGTTATTGTGGTCCTCGGGGTGTTATTGTGGTCCTCGGGGTGTTATTGTGGTCCTCGGGGTATTATTGTGGTCCTCGGGGTGTTATTGTGGTCCTCGGGGTGTTATTGTGGTCCTCTGGGTATTATTGTGGTCCTCGGGGTGTTATTGTGGTCCTCGGGGTTATTGTGGTCCTCGGGGTGTTATTGTGGTCCTCTGGGTGTTATTGTGGTCCTCGTTATTGGGTGTTATTGTGGTCCTCGGGGTGTTATTGTGGTCCTCGGGGTGTTATTGTGGTCCTCGGGGTATTATTGTGGGTATTATTGTGGTCCTCGGGGTGTTATTGTGGTCCTCGGGGTATTATTGTGGTCCTCGGGGTGTTATTGTGGTCCTCGGTGTTATTGTGGTCCTCGGGGTATTATTGTGGTCCTCGGGGTGTTATTGTGGTCCTCGGGGTGTTATTGTGGTCCTCGGGGTGTTATTGTGGTCCTCGGGGGTTATTGTGGTCCTCGGGGTGTTATTGTGGTCCTCTGGGTGTTATTGTGGTCCTCGGGGTATTATTGTGGTCCTCGGGGTGCTATTGTGGTCCTCGGGGTATTATTGTGGTCCTCGGGGTATTATTGTGGTCCTCGGGGTGTTATTGTGGTCCTCGGGGTGTTATTGTGGTCCTCGGGGTATTATTGTGGTCCTCGGGGTGTTATTGTGGTCCTCGGGGTGTTATTGTGGTCCTCGGGGTATTATTGTGGTCCTCGGGGTATTATTGTGGTCCTCGGGGTGTTATTGTGGTCCTCGGGGTATTATTGTGGTCCTCGGGGTGTTATTGTGGTCCTCGGGGTGTTATTGTGGTCCTCGGGGTGTTATTGTGGTCCTCGGGGTATTATTGTGGTCCTCTGGGTGTTATTGTGGTCCTCTGGGTGTTATTGTGGTCCTCGGGGTGTTATTGTGGTCCTCTGGGTGTTATTGTGGTTATTATTATTGTGGTCCTCGGGGTGTTATTGTGGTCCTCGGGGTGTTATTGTGGTCCTCGCGGGTGTTATTGTGGTCCTCGGGGTGTTATTGTGGTCCTCGGGGTATTATTGTGGTCCTCGGGGTGTTATTGTGGTCCTCGGGGTGTTATTGTGGTCCTCGGGGTGTTATTGTGGTCCTCGGGGTATTATTGTGGTCCTCGGGGTATTATTGTGGTCCTCTGGGTGTTATTGTGGTCCTCGGGGTGTTATTGTGGTCCTCGGGGTATTATTGTGGTCCTCGGGGTGTTATTGTGGTCCTCGGGGTGTTATTGTGGTCCTCGGGGTGTTATTGTGGTCCTCGGGGTATTATTGTGGTCCTCGGGGTGTTATTGTGGTCCTCTGGGTGTTATTGTGGTCCTCGGGGTGTTATTGTGGTCCTCTGGGTGTTATTGTGGTCCGGGGTATTATTGGGTGTTATTGTGGTCCTCGGGGTGTTATTGTGGTCCTTGTGGTCCTCGGGGTGTTATTGTGGTCCTCGGGGTGTTATTGTGGTCCTCGGGGTGTTATTGTGGTCCTCTGGGTGTTATTGTGGTCCTCGCGGGTGTTATTGTGGTCCTCGGGGTGTTATTGTGGTCCTCGGGGTGTTATTGTGGTCCTCTGGGGTTATTGTGGTCCTCGTGGTGTTATTGTGGTCCTCGGGGTGTTATTGTGGTCCTCGGGGTGTTATTGTGGTCCTCGGGGTGTTATTGTGGTCCTCGGGGTGTTATTGTGGTCCTCTGGGTGTTATTGTGGTCCTCTGGGTGTTATTGTGGTCCTCTGGGTGTTATTGTGGTCCTCGGGTGTATTATTGTGGTCCTCGGGTGTTATTGTGGTCCTCGGGGTGTTATTGTGGTCCTCTGGGTGTTATTGTGGTCCTCGTCCTCTGGGTGTTATTGTGGTCCTCGGGGTGTTATTGTGGTCCTCGGGGTGTTATTGTGGTCCTCGGGGTATTATTGTGGTCCTCGGGGTGTTATTGTGGTCCTCGGGGTGTTATTGTGGTCCTCGCGGGTATTATTGTGGTCCTCGGGGTATTATTGTGGTCCTCTGGGTGTTATTGTGGTCCTCTGGGTGTTATTGTGGTCCTCGGGGTATTATTGTGGTCCTCGTGGTGTTATTGTGGTCCTCGGGGTGTTATTGTGGTCCTCGGGGTGTTATTGTGGTCCTCGGGGTGTTATTGTGGTCCTCTGGGTATTATTGAGGTCCTCTGGGTGTTATTGTGGTCCTCTGAGTATTATTGTGGTCCTCTGGGTATTATTGAGGTCCTCTGGGTATTATTGTGGTCCTCTGGGTATTATTGAGGTCCTCTGGGTATTATTGTGGTCCTCTGGGTATTATTGAGGTCCTCTGGGTGTTATTGTGGTCCTCGCGGGTGTTATTGAGGTCCTCTGGGTATTATTGTGGTCCTCTGGGTATTATTGAGGTCCTCTGGGTATTATTGTGGTCCTCTGGGTATTATTGAGGTCCTCGGGGTATTAATAAGTCTGGTCGTTCACAGCTGGGAGAGGCCGCCCAGGACGGAGGACGACCCGGGCATCTTCGTGCTGGCCAACAGGTACCAGATGCCCCGCGCCTACCTGGTCTTCAAGGGCTTCACCGCCAACTTCTCCGGGGACTACCAGTGCGTCCTGCACTTCCGTAGGGCGCCCTTGGTCTCCGTCGGCCTCACCCTCACCTTCGACGAAACCCTCACCGCCAGGGACTGCAACAACACCTAGGAGGACGTCCTCCAGTGGAGCTATCCAGCAAGAAAGGAAATTTCCATTCCCGGATTCACGAAGCAGTTACGCTAGCACTTACGAACCTGAGGCGAGACATACGAAGCAGTTACGCAAGTACTTACGAACGTGTACATCTTTCCTCAATCTTTGATGGCTTTGGTTACAATTATTAAGCAGTTTACAAGCTTGAAAACTGGCCAATCAGTTGTTGTTATTGTTATAAACAGCCTCCTGGTGCTTCGGAGCTCATTAATTGTTTAATAATTGTAAACAAAGCCGCCAAAGATTGAGAAAAGATGTACAGGTTCGTAAGTACCTGCGTAACTGCTTCATGAATCCAGGTCACGATTAGCAGATACTGCCACCCTTGTTTAAACATACCCGCGAAGTGGATGTGACTATTTATAAGTGAATTACACGTTACACCTTTTAGCAGGTTTTTGTATCATAACTCATGAAGTAATTTTCTGTAAATAAAGTGCCTAAGGTACCCTGTGTAGTGCAAGCAGGAGCCGCATATACTGCTGACTTATGGCAGCCATCAGTCTCAGGAGACTATGGAGTTGTGCTCTGGTTGTCGGTCTGTAGTAGCCTCTCCAGGGCGCAAAGCCAGGGTAGGTTGATACGGGAGAGAAGCTGTTACCCATGCAGCAGGTCTCAACCCCCTCCATCTCTTATGCGAGCATCAATAAGGGTCTGTGGGGACTGTACCCCTTACCCTAGAGACAGGTTGTATATGGTGTTACAATCTGTTTTACAAATAACGTCGCTTTTCGCTCGTATGCGTCACATAAGGACCAAAAATAGCCGTATTAGAAAATGGAACCGGCTGGCGAAAGTGACATACTGTCCCCGTTTTCTGTTTTGGGTCCTCTGGCTTAGTCTATTAGGTTAGGAGAAAACATCTTCAATTAAAGGTTTGCTTGATATTTTGAAACCTTAGGAGGACAGGCTGGGTGGTGGATCGGTACCCAAGTGTGACGGTAGTTATGGAAGGTGTGGAGTCGTTAGTATTGTGACCAACAAGGTAAGTAGGGCGAACTGGGGTCATCCCTGACTACTAGTATCTTTTAAATACACATGGAAGAGCTTTATTAAGCGAAGGGCAGCTTTCACAAGCCTCAGGTGGGGTCACCAGTGACCCCAGCCACCGGTGACCCCAGCCACCAGTGACCCCAGCCATCAGTGACCCCAGCCATCAGTGACCCCAGCCACCAGTGACCCCAGCCATCAGTGACCCCAGCCACCAGTGACCCCAGCCATCAGTGACACCAGTGACCCCAGCCATCAGTGACCCCAGCCACCAGTGACCCCAGCCACCAGTGACCCCAACCACCGGTGACCCCAGCCACCAGTGACCCCAGCCATCAGTGACCCCAGCCACCAGTGACCCCAGCCACCAGTGACCCCAGCCACCAGTGACCCCAGCCATCAGTGACCCCAGCCACCAGTGACCCCAGCCACCTGTGACCCCAGCCACCAGTGACCCCAGCCACCAGTGACCCCAGCCACCAGTGACCCCAGCCACCAGTGACCCCAGCCACCAGTGACCCCAGCCACCAGTGACCCCAGCCACCAGTGACCCCAGCCACCAGTGACCCCAGCCACCAGTGACCCCAGCCACCAGTGACCCCAGCCACCGGTGACCCCAGCCACCGGTGACCCCAGCCACCAGTGACCCCAGCCACCAGTGACCCCAGCCACCAGTGACCCCAACCACCGGTGACCCCAGCCACCGGTGACCCCAGCCACCAGTGACCCCAGCCACCAGTGACCCCAGCCACCAGTGACCCCAGCCACCAGTGACCCCAGCCACCAGTGACCCCAGCCACCAGTGACCCCAGCCACCAGTGACCCCAGCCACCAGTGACCCCAGCCACCAGTGACCCCAGCCACCAGTGACCTCAACCACCGGTGACCCCAGCCATCAGTGACCCCAGCCACCAGTGACCCCAGCCATCAGTGACCCCACCCATCAGTGACCCCAACCACCGGTGACCCCAGCCATCAGTGACCCCAGCCACCAGTGACCCCAACCACCGGTGACCCCAGCCATCAGTGACCCCAGCCACCAGTGACCCCAGCCACCAGTGACCCCAGCCACCAGTGACCCCAGCCACCAGTGACCCCAGCCACCAGTGACCCCAGCCACCAGTGACCCCAGCCACCAGTGACCCCAGCCACCAGTGACCCCAGCCATCAGTGACCCCAGCCACCAGTGACCCCAGCCATCAGTGAGCCCAGCCATCAGTGACCCCAACCACCGGTGACCCCAGCCACCGGTGACCCCAGCCATCAGTGACCCCAACCATCAGTGACCCCAACCACCGGTGACCCCAGCCACCAGTGACCCCAGCCATTGGTTACCCCAGCCACCAGTGACCCCAGCCACCAGTGACCCCAGCCACCAGTGACCCCAGCCACCAGTGACCCCAGCCACCAGTGACCCCAGCCACCAGTGACCCCAGCCACCAGTGACCCCAGCCACCAGTGACCCCAGCCATCAGTGAGCCCAGCCATCAGTGACCCCAACCACCAGTGACCCCAGCCATCAGTGACCCCAACCATCAGTGACCCCAACCACCGGTGACCCCAGCCATCAGTGACCCCAGCCACCAGTGACCCCAGCCATCAGTGACCCCAGCCATCACTGACCCCAGCCATCAGTGACCCCAGCCATCAGTGACCCCAACCACCGGTGACCTCAACCACCGGTGACCCCAGCCACCAGTGACCCCAGCCACCAGTGACCCCAGCCACCGGTGACCCCAGCCACCAGTGACCCCAGCCACCGGTGACCCCAGCCACCGGTGACCCCAGCCACCAGTGACCCCAACCACCGGTGACCCCAGCCACCAGTGACCCCAACCACCGGTGACCCCAGCCACCGGTGACCCCAGCCACCAGTGACCCCAGCCACCGGTGACCCCAGCCACCAGTGACCCCAACCACCGGTGACCCCAGCCACCAGTGACCCCAGCCACCAGTGACCCCAGCCACAGATACTCTTTACATGAACTTTGTCTCCACCAATGACAACCGACGTTCAAAGCCGGAGCATTGTAATGTATATTTTTGCATGGCTGTAATTTGGTGTAATGTTAAGAGGCGAGAGTTTATGGTGTGTGTGTGTGTGTGTGTGTGTGTGTGTGTGTGTGTGTGTGTGTGTGTGTGTGTGTGTGTGTGTGTGTGTGTGTGTGTGTGTGTGTGTGTTGTGTGGTGTTCATGGTGTTCATGTTAATGTGGAAATGTCGTGCCAAAATGTTCACTTGTTCAAGCTATACCAATAGAGTATAGTAGAGCTACAGGTAGTGATATGCGATATTATATATTTATATATGTATATTATATAGATAACTTTGTTTTATTCCCAGTATTACCCTGAGTTACGTAGAGGAAGATGTAGTAGCCAGGAGGCCTGGTCGACGACCGGGCCGCGGGGACACTAAGCCCCGGAAGCACCTCAAGGTAGGTAGCCACTCGAGTGAGCAGCCCAACGCCATCACCACACAACACCATCACCACACAACACCATCACCACACAACACCATCACCACACAACACTATCACCACACAACACCATCACCACACAACACCATCACCACACAACACTATCACCACACAACACCATCACCACACAACACCATCACCACACAACACTATCACCACACAACACCATCACCACACAACACTATCACCACACAACACCATCACCACACAACACTATCACCACACAACACTATCACCACACAACACTATCACCACACAACACTATCACCACACAACACCATCACCACACAACACTATCACCACACAACACTATCACCACACAACACTATCACCACACAACACTATCACCACACAACACTATCACCACACAACACCATCACCACACAACACTATCACCACACAACACATCACCACACAACACATCACCACACAACACTATCACCACACAACACTATCACCACACAACACTATCACCACACAACACTATCACCACACAACACCATCACCACACAACACTATCACCACACAACACTATCACCACACAACACTATCACCACAAAACACCATCACCACACAACACTATCACCACACAACACTATCACCACACAACACTATCACCACACAACACTATCACCACACAACACCATCACCACACAACACTATCACCACACAACACTATCACCACACAACACTATCACCACACAACACTATCACCACACAACACTATCACCACACAACACTATCACCACACAACACTATCACCACACAACACTATCACCACACAACACTATCACCACACAACACTATCACCACACAACACTATCACCACACAACACCATCACCACACAACACTATCACCACACAACACCATCACCACACAACACCATCACCACACAACACTATCACCACACAACACTATCACCACACAACACTATCACCACACAACACCATCACCACACAACACTATCACCACACAACACTATCACCACACAACACCATCACCACCATCACTATAGTAATTTCCTACTAATCATGCTAATTTAAATCACCAGAATGGAGCAAATTGCAAATGCGGAAAACGACAAGGAGAAAGCGCTAAGCCGGTATGACTATGTCACATAATTGCTGTTGAGGGAGTACAGGAAGCCTGTACTTAGGGCTGTACCGGGTACCTAGTTACTGCTAGGTGAACAGAAGCATCAGGTGGAAGTAAACATCCCCAACCACGTGCCCCGGCTGGGGTCGACAGTGAGTCGATAACGTAGACCACTGTACTACGTGGAAGGGATGGGAGGACGGAGTGACGGAACGGTACCCCATCAGGAATGGAGGGAGAGAGAAGGAACAAAAGAAGGGTGTGAGCGCAATGTGCGCAAGATGGAGGTGTGGTGGACGTGCGTGGCTCCGGGCGAGACATTGTCAGAAGTGAGAGGAGAGATGATTGCTACGGTCGGCTGCGCCTCTACTGAGAACTGATGGCACCACCTGGCCGCTCTCTCATACCTAATGGAGCGCTCCTTCATTCCCGTCAAACACACTACCAACCGTCAACGTTCCAACAACTTAACACCTTACAAGTTGTAACAACCAATATAGCAAGTTGTAATAACGTTTTAATACACCATAAAAATGTTATAACAAGATGTAACAAAATTTTACAA